GATTTAGGTTTCGCAATAATGGACCAACGACAACCACACCAAAATAATAGACTCAAATAAATATAGCAAAAATTACAATTAAGTCTCGTAAAAAAATTAATTATTATAAAATTTATTAAAAATTAAGTTAAACTACATTGATATTTTAATGTAATTCTTTCATAAATATTTTGTAGCGATACATTCACTAGTAAAGTAATATAATTTTTTTATTGAGTATGTCATATTTAAATATTATGAGTTGAATTAAAATTAAAAGTAGCTCTTTAAAACACGCAAGACTAGTTTTATTCTTAGGCACAGTACAACTTTATTTTTATATATGAAAAGAATAACACAACCAGAATTGACAGTAAGATCAATTTGCGAGCTGTGTCACCGAAGGATGTCGGATTATACAATGTCGATGAAGGACGTTGCTTGATCTTATAGCACACGTCCCCACTTTGAACCAGCCAAACACTCTTTTCCTTTTCTTTTTCCCTTATCAAAGCAATCAATTTTATATTTACAATGTACATAGTTTGAAATCCTTCATGATTCCCTTCCTATTATATGCTTACTAATTTTTTTTGAAGTGGGGCGCTCGCGTACATAAATTATTATAAAATTAACATTAACACTAATAATAATGCATTAGGCTCACAACAGTCCACACACACACACACATATATATATATATATTTTACCATCGCAATCCAGATATATTTAATACACACACACATTCGAGCATATAAATATTTTAATAATTCTTAGAGAAGATTAGGCTTCTCATTCCCAAGACGAGACCAGGTTAAAGAAATTATTTTCTTTCGAATAATTTAAATTGCACTATATTTTTTTTATAGGACTTGCTTTCAATTATTATCATTTAAAAATTTCAGAGTTCAGTGATGAGTTTTTTTTTTCTAAATTTTCTTACAACGATCAAATTTGATTATTAGTATTTGTGGATATGTTGCATAATTCATTGATAGTTGATTTTTTTTAATTTAATTTTTCGTTATTGAGCTTTAAAATTTTTATTTTTATAATAAAATGGATAATAAACATTTAATCATTTTCTTCCTGCTAAAGCCAAAGATGTGGGAATAAAAAGTCCAAATTGCGCTGAAGTTGAAAGCAGGAAACTGTGGGACTGGGGACAAAGTGCAAATCCGAAAACGAGAAAAATCCAAGACAGCAAAATTAATTTGAACACAATTATATTGAAATACTACTTCATTTAAAAATAAACTTCTTCCATGATTGCATTTTAAATTATTTCAAAATATTATGATAAAAATTTTAAATTTTAAAGGGTAAATTTAAATAAAAACATTAACTTCCAATCCTAATTTTTTATATTATTTAAAAGTTTTATTATTTTAACATGAATTTTCTAATTTGATTAATGAACAGCCTTTTCTTTTTTTGGAAGGCAAACGTGGCTTTCGAGGGAGGGTCTGAATAGCCCTGTCCGTTCACCACGTGGGGGACAAACACCCTTTACGCAACTCCCTTGGCGAATCCAGAAATAATCCCCAGCTTTTGCCCTCACCGTATTATAACTGCATCCTCATCACATCATACCCATTATCATTGGGGTCCACCCAACATCAACAGCTTTTATATATATATATATATATATATATATTAATATAAAGCATGACTCAATCTATTTTTTAAAATGATTATTTTTATTTGTGACTTATAAGCAATATTTTAGTATGGATGAAATTTTTGACCTGTTGGGTGTATTAAGAGTAAATAAAATAAAAAGTAAAATAATTTTGAAAATAAAATATGATGTCTTTATTTAAAGTAACTAGTAAAAATAATTGTGTAATATTTATATTGGTTTCATTAGTATAAAAAAAATAAATTTTGGCCATGAGAAAGTTTAGTTACGTAGCTTTGGAAGGTGGATGATAACTTTGTTTTTGAATAATTTGTGATGTTTTTTTTAATTACTAGTGAAAACATTAAACATAGTAGCAAGTTACAACCTAGTTAGAAACAAAGGAGGAATGTCTCCCACCATCCACCATCTTCATATAATAAAAGAGTGATTGATAAAAAATATACACCAACTGCTTAAATAAGGGGAAGCATTCCCATATAAAAAATGAGCACAAAAATCTATTTAGTTAAACATGAAGTTAATCATGATATGTTAGTTTCTTTGTAAGACAATAAGAGTGACTTTGACTTAGCTTGCTCAATAATATCTCTATTGGAGTGTTGGCCTAGGTTACTCCTAATGATGAGATTAATGGCTTGTGCATAGTAGGTAAAGGCCTTAATCAGTGATGTTTTTTCAAGTGTTTTCTTAAACCACAATGCCCACTTTAGTTATGATTAATTTTCAAGACTCCCCTCTACTTATATTTGATAGGGCTGAATTGAGTATCCCAACAATAAGCATGTTATTGTTTAAAAAGAAAATACAAGTACATGTTTTTGAGACTCAATTTTAGTAATTGAATATTACAATATGTTTACTCTATTTATATATATATGTATATATATCGATCAAAGAATACTCATGATCTTTGAAAAAAAAATATCTATTTTATTTTACCCTGAAGATATTTTTATAGATTCTTAAATTATCATGATAAATTCAATGACAATAATTAACAAATCTAGCTAATCTTAAATTTTAAGTATTTTTAATCTTTTTCTTAATTACAGATTTCAATGCCAATTAGCAACAAAATTTTTTTAGGAATAAGATTATTATTTTCCATCAACAGCAAAATTTATCCTTCTCATGATATAGATGAAAAAAGATAAGATTTTTTAACTTGTTCATCGGACTTCTAACTAATTGTTTAAGATACATTAGTTTTATAACTTAACACTCACTAAAATTAACTTTTTCCCAGCTCCTTTTTTTTATGGTTGGAAAAATTTTCTTACTTGTAGCGTATTGTTTGTCGGAAAAATAAGAAGTTTTACCTTACGAAATGGCAATTAAAGACCTCCCAAAGTTATTAATTTTAATTAAGAATCATAAAATATAGAAATTTAAATTACGAACCATGATCTTTACTTTTTTTTTTTTTTTTGAACAAAGAACCATCACCTTTACTTGAAATAAAAAACATACATATACAAAATTGCCCTCTATTAAATATTAAAATATATATAACGCTGTTGAAATTGCTCTCATGGCATGCAAATATTATTAATATTAATTAGAAAAATAAGGACCACACTTGAAAAGTAAAGAAAACACATCTAAAGTCTCCCATAAAAAATGTATTACTTTAAAGTCTTGTCAATTGCACAAATGCCTATTAGGGTTTTAGGAATTTAGCTATAATTAATTTTTTTGTGTAACAACCAAAAAGCCCATGTGAGGTCCCTAAATCAACTTTAGCTTGATGATCTAAACTCCCTTGTGTATGTACCCTAAATCAACTTTAGCTTGATGATCTAAATTCCCTTGTGTATGTAGTGGCGGATGCAACTCCGCCTATGTTTATAGCCGGTCCCAAGCCCGGGTAAAGGAGGAGGGTTGTGTTAGGCCATCAACAGCCAATGTAAAAATTTGTTGAATCTATCATGAACATGAACAATAGAGGAAGGCCTAAGAGAACACTCTTGGAAGTTGTTGAACGTGATCTTTTAATTAATAATATTTCTAAAGCTTAATTAATGATAGAGCACAATGGCGTCTTGCAATCCATGTAGCTGACCCCACCTAGTGGGATAAAGGCTTGTTGTTGTTGTTGTATGTAGTGGCGGATGCAAGATCTTGAGTCAATGTGGGCATAATTAAATAAAATGTAAAAATAATTTAGTGTTTATAAAATAAATATTTAGTTTTGTAAAATAATATTAGGAAAGGAAAAATTAAAATGATATTTTCATAAAAATAATCTAAATTTAAATATAATGTACTCAAAATTTAAAACATTTTGAACTTAAGTAAAACATACAAGACCTACATTTTTGTTGAACTCAAATATATTTTAGTTTGAGTTTAGTGGGTTCAAAACTATTTGAGTAATGGAGGTAAATTTTTAAACTTTTCACCTCTTCTTTACAAATTTTTTTCAAATTGAGTGAGGGCACTTACCCACCTTTAACTATGCCTAGGTCTACCACTGTGTGTATGCATCAACCTTCTGCAAGTGCTTCTTCCTTTTAAGAGCACTATCAATCTACATTCTCAATAATCTAAGAAGCTTGTTGACTATAATGGGTAGAAGGTTCTCCCTCAATGATCGTCTACCTCCATGCCCATATGAACGTGACCCTTGCTTTTTCCCACGATGCTAGTAGTATCCGGTTCAAAACTCAGTGATGAACACTAACACAACAATTTAAACGTGTTTGAAGAACTTGCCAAACAATGATTTGATTGAGATAAGCATGAAGAGGCATGCTGGAACCCATCATCACAACCAAATTATAGACATTGATTTCAATGCTGGAGCTGTGCTTCTCAATGCTAATGAGAAGAGTATATTGACAAAAGGACAAGCCAACTTGAGATTTAACTAAACAAAAAGAGATCTCAGCACTCGGATTATGATTTCTAGAAAAGTAAGCATCCTGGGTATATTAATGTTGATGTGATTTATAGGATAGGTTTAATTTGATTGGAGCAAAATAAAGGTTTATGGGATTCAGGGTGGTTCTCAGCAAGGAACATTTTGTTTTTTGCTTTTTATTCTTCTCGATTATAATCGTGTGACCATTGTTAGCAATTTGGCATGAAATGGTCGGGATAAACAATAAACACGAGAGCTGATACATTGACCTCACTTGGACCTTTTTCGTCATTTCACAAAAAAAAAAAAATTTAACTACACGTAAGTCCCTTGGGACCTCACAAGCATTTCTATAATTGGGATCTGAGGGTGATTACAATTGTTGTTGGGGTACTTTGGAATGATTTTCCCTGTACATAAAGCACGCATAATCGTAGCATATGAAAATGATTGCGTAAAAAATTATCATTGGGTTTTATTCTGCTCCAAATTACACTCGCTCGCAGAGGACACAAGCTCTTCACCAGCATCAGTGGTTTTGTCGTGTATAGAGAGAGAGAGAGAGAGAGCGCGCTGTGAATAGTTTCATAAGAAGCTCCGGTGGGTACTGGCATTTAAAAGGGAAAGCCACGCCTCGAAGAAACACTGCAAGCGAATTCGGAAACTAGCCTTTCTCTTTCCCTTCTGATTCTCCAGTCTTCGTCTAGGGTTTTTGCTTCTTCTCTCCAATGGCTTGCTCTTCTCTCCTGAGATCTGCGCTCGTCTCTCCCTCCCACGCTGACCTCTCGCCTTCTTCCTCTCATCGCTTCAAGGTCTCCCTCTCTCTTTCTCTAACTGTTCAAACTTGTTCTTTACTATACTTACGTCCATTGAGGATTCCTGTGCCACGTTATATTTTCGTACTTTATTTCGGTTTTCTGGTTTTTGACTAGCCTTTTCTGTTTGTTTTGACTTTTGAACTTGGAATTCTCATTTGTAATGAGCGGGCCATTTCTTATTGACCAGGTTTAGTTAACTCAAATCAAGGATTCTCAGTCTCCTTGTCCAAAAAAACCGGGGGGGGGGGGACTCTTGCCCCGGTTTTGTTTCTATTGGCTGTTACTGATGTTTTCCTGCAATTTTCCGAACACTGTAGACTTGGAATCACGGGTCACATTGATACTATGTACCCTGTTTTGGGATTATGTTATAACTCATTGTGTTGGGATTTTGACAATGTTTCCCCCCATTTAAGTTTCAAATTAAAATCGATTGGGTTTTGCGCCCTCTGTTGGGTTACCTATGAAACAGGGGAAGGAGAAGGAAGAAACAATTTTGGGTGTGATGTTCACATTTGTCACTGTAAAAGTTGGTAAACTAACTCTTTAAACCAAAATGTCCGAGAAATGGTGAAGAAATTTCTTCCATCAATTTCTTATTCTGAGTTTTCCCACTCCTTCCTAATTTCTTAACAGTTAAACTGAGTTTACTTTTTATAAGATAGATACTTGTTTCTCTGGTTATTTCAGGGTTGTTACATATCATTAATATAACACATGGCTTATTTATTTAAATGCCTTTCAGGTGTCATGCAATGCATCGAGCTGCAACCTAAAATCTAAAAGTTCACAGTCTAGCTTATTTGGAACTTCTCTAGCAGTTGAATCACTAGTCTTCCAGTTGAGTGCTTAAAGTTTTGATTCAGTGAACGTGTTCTTTTTCTTATTCTTTCTTTCGTTTTTCTTAAGTGTTCTTACCCTTTATCATCGTGGGATCCTAAAATGTTATAATTTTCTCAGAAACTGCTACGCCAGGAGTATGCAGCCTATCAAAGCCACAGCTACCGAAATCCCACTCCCTGTACAGAGTAAGAATAATGCTTATCTTATGCATAGAATGGATTAATTTAGGAGCAGCAATGTTATTGTTACTCTTGGTTGTTTTGTTCTGTATAGAATCAAGGAGCGGTGCAAAGACAAGAGTTGGAATTAATGGTAAGTTTCTAGTCATTTAAGCCCAGCACCACTCTCCCTCCAAATTAATTTCCGGACAACAATATTATTGTTACTCTTGGTTGTTTTGCATCATCTGTCTTTTTCATAGACCTCAAACTATATAAGCTTTGCCTTGAACACCCTTTTTTCATAATGTCCAGGATTATCTCAACATTAACAGTCACTTCAATTTTTCATTCATTTCTGGAGTTTGTAAAAATGGATTTAATTTTGTCTATTTATTATGAAGTTTTATCTTGTCGAATTGGAAGCCTATGTACTTGATGCTTTTGTTGGTATCATTCTGTTTGCATAGTGAATCTGATTTTTCCTAGAAGAATGATTCTTCATGATAAAATACAATATCTCTGATTTTTATTTTGGATCCAGAATTCGTAATTGTCACATAATAAATGTGTGCAACTGCCTCTCTTTTTTGCTGAATGGAACTGTTACTCTTTAATGACAATGACATCTGCATATGAAAATTCTGTGAACCATTGAACTTTCTGAAGATGAAATTGGCAACCCACTCGTTTTTGGGCTTTGTTTGGTGAAATATAATTTGTAGTGTTGTTCCTGCTTTGGAGCATGCGGCCAACTTGGCCAGAACTTATGTATGTTACTTGAGAAATTAGATTTGTTCTATTATGTGAAGAAAGAGTGTGGTCCTGAGTTAAAGGGTCTGTTAAAAATGCTTTCAGCTTCAGTGCAGAAGTTTTGAATCGAAAAACAATATTAGATTTTGAGCTCTTCAATTCACAATTCAGCTTGGTTGGACAACTGGCAAACAAGTTATCTCCAAAGAAATGGCTGGTGTTCAATTGGTTATCTTGTTGGATGATGTAATAGCTCAGAACTAACAGATTTAGAGGGTGGTGTTTAATGTTGTTTATTTTCTGGTTTGTGTAGCTGTTGTATTTTTTATTTTTTGGTTTATGGCATTCAATTAGCTTTTTACTTTTTTAAGGCTGTTATATCCCAAGGGTGAATGAATTGTTTAAGGAGCATAATTCTAAGGTGTTGATGTGTGAAATTTTGTTCCAACCCTCTGAATACTAATGAAGTTGCTTATCCAGACAACATACTCTGCAAGTTTGTCAGTTTGTTTCAAGAAAGGACCCATATTTCTTTGCTGGAATTGCAGGTTTTGGGAGAATTGGAAGGTTGGTTTTGCGAATAGCTACTTCCAGGGATGATATTGATGTTGTAGCAATTAATGATCCCTTTATTGATGCCAAGTATATGGTACGTATGTGGAAATGCCTTGTTAATATTGCTTATATGAATATATGCACCTATCTCCTAGTGACTCATTATTTTATATCAGTACAAAACTCTGGTCAATAAACCTGGCACTGCAATGAGTAGTATGGTTGACATAATCTGATGTCACACGAATCTTTTGCAGTAGTATAAGAACGAATAAATTCTTCAACTTCATATAAAACCTTTGTATTTCTTTCAGTTCGTTATGGACTTCCACACTCAATAGATCAATGCTAGACTTTTTTTCTCCTTAAGCCCCCCTAAATTTCAAAGTTGCCAATTTGTAGCAGAAATAGAATTGATGCAAGTGGGAAAAATTGCTTGTTATTATCAATACTGGTAGGCACTCTTGTTTTAATTTCTCCTTCCACCCGCCCAGGGCAGTCAGATATTTATAATGGTTTTGAATTTGTATCAAGAGTTAACCCAACTGGGGCTGGGTGTTTGATGAATTTTATTTGTATTGTAATGCAAGACGTGTTATGACTGGAAAAGTTGTAAATGCTTTAGAGACCTCCTGCGACTTTGTTTTTGTTCTTCAGTTTTCTTTCTCTGTTAATCTGTGTTTATGATCTTTTTATTTTATTTTGTTTTTATGCACATTTATCTCCTCTCTCTTTCAGGCTTACATGTTTAAGTATGATTCTACTCATGGACCGTTCAAGGGAACCATTGATATTTTGGATGGCTCTACTTTGATAGTAAATGGGAAGCAGATTAAAGTTGTCGGCAAAAGGTGTGCAGAACTGTAATGATTGAAATGTGAACACCTGTATTATTTGACCAAACACCTTAAATTTGCATTAACATTCATACATGTCTTATTTCTTGATGCAGAGACCCCGCAGAGATCCCCTGGGGTGAAGTTGGGGCTGATTTTGTTGTTGAATCATCAGGAGTTTTTACAACAATGGAGAAAGCTTCAGCACATTTAAAGGTTGCTATCTCAGTTATTTGCGATTTAAATGTTCTCTATGTCCTTTGTCCTCTTTGTTGACTCTCTAGCTTAACTTGCTTTCTGTCATGTCACTCTGTAGGGTGGTGCCAACAAAGTTGTAATATCAGCTCCATCTGCTGATGCTCCTATGTTTGTGGTGGGAGTAAATGAGAAAACATACAAGCCAAACATGGACATTGTTTCAAATGCAAGCTGTACTACAAATTGTCTTGCTCCTCTTGCCAAGGTTTGATTACATCCTGTAAGAGAAAGCTATGTCAAATTTGTGCACTTTTATGATAAAACGTTCATGCCCTAGGTTAAGCATGATATAATTCAGTGGTAGAAAAGCCTATAATGTCTAGGTCTTATGGTAGATCCTCTTCAAACATGAAGGAGAAGGGTGAGTTCAAGTGTTCAGTAGTGTTAGAAATTATAATGCTTTTGTCAATTGTGACTAATCGAGGAAAAAAGGGGAGATTTAAATCATGAAATATTCATGTTTTTTCTCTTCACCTCACAATGCCTAGTTTTCATTCTCTTGGCCATGCGGTTTGTCATATATTTATCATTTTTTAGGTTGTTCATGAGGAGTTTGGCATACTCGAAGGCTTGATGACAACTGTACATGCTACAACAGGTCTCTTCTGCACACTAGCTACTCTAGCCATTGATTTTGTTTTCTTGAGCAGGGTAGGATGGGGTGGGGAGGATGTTAAATCATTCCCTGGTATGCTGGCGTATGGTATGGTGACATGATTTTATACATTGCTCAGCAACACAAAAGACTGTAGATGGTCCCTCTATGAAGGATTGGCGTGGAGGACGAGGAGCTGGTCAAAATATAATTCCAAGTTCAACTGGTGCAGCAAAAGTAAGAGATTGAAGAAGAGGTTTTCAAATTTTTGAGGTATTGTGTTCTAATGTTCTTATTAAAGGTTATTAATGATCTAAGTTTTTATGAACCCGTAGGCTGTTGGAAAAGTTCTTCCTGAGCTTAATGGAAAGCTCACGGGAATGGCATTCCGTGTCCCAACGCCCAATGTTTCAGTTGTAGACTTAACTGTTCGGCTTCAGAAGGGTGCTTCCTATGAAGATATCAAAGCAGCGGTCAAGTATGTCCATCGCTTGTCTGCTTGTGATTCCGTACTAACCTCCAGTTTGTATTCTGTGCTGATTATTCTGTTGATCAACATCATTTCACTAGGTATGCTTCAGAGGGACCACTAAAAGGCATTCTTGGATACACTGACGAGGATGTTGTCTCCAATGACTTCATTGGTGATCCAAGGTAAAATTCTCTTTGATGACCTTTTTTGGACATTGGCAAATTATCTTATCGGCATCTTGAAGAGATGAGCTCTCTTGATGTGTTTAAAATCTTCTGCATCTGAATTAGGGGATGTCTAGTTTATCCCCGGTTTATACAAGTGAGGCACTATTAAAAAAAACAAACAAAAGACTAGTAGGGATTTGGTTGATACATTGTTCAGAGGAGTGCTGAAAATATTAATTTCCTCAAACAAACATGAGGCTCCTCCATCAACTTTCTGTTAGTGGAAAAAGGATTTCATGTGTTGTTGTGCACTGGATATCTTCATTTGTTGCATATATGGCTCATCATAAGTCATTCCCACTTGATTTTAACAGGTCGAGTATTTTTGACGCTAAGGCCGGGATTGGGCTTAGCGCATATTTCATGAAGCTGATTTCGTGGTATGACAACGAGTGGGGATACAGGTATATCATCTTTACAGTTACATTGATGTTATGTGTTCGCTATCATGACATGATGTTTTGTGCTTGAACTTGTGTTGCACTGGCTCTTGCTTTCACGTTAATCATGTTCAAAAGGAATGAAGAACCTCTGATCGATGCTAACTTGCAATTCGTGGTTGAATGTTGACTTTTGCAGTAACCGGGTGCTGGACCTGATAGAGCACATGGCTTTGGTGGGAGCCCACAACTGAAAACTGAGTTTTGTTGATGTTGATGTCGGGTATTTTTAGTCTTCATTAGTTAGGTTACATGGTCTCAGGTTTTGGTTTTGATCATAACCTCATAATTTATAGAGATGCGAGATTAAGCATCACTTTTACAAACTCTGGGAAAGAAATAAAGAAAAGTTCATCCTGTTAACTGTCGGTTGGAATTCGGTTTCATGAACCACTGAAGTTCTAAGAGATTCGTTTTACATGCATGGCATTTTAAGAATGAGCGATTTATGTTAGGGATGACAAAACTGTTAATTCTTTAAATTTGTTTCAATTATTTATTTTTGTTTTTAAAATTTATTTTTCATCAATGTACTTGTAATGTTTTATAATTATATAAAATTCAATTATTGATTTTGGTTTGAAGATGCCTGGGGGATTACAAGAATGGGTGCAAACTAAGGTGCTTTTAAGGTAAATCATTCTTAAACATTTAGGTAGAAGATGTAATTCTAGACGCGTCGCGGAATTTTGTATGGTTATAAAGTTTTAAGCATTTAATTGATTGAAATTAAGTTTCAAGATCAGAAGAAAAAATTGAAAGTCTTGTGATCTCATATGTGTCATCTGATTAAAGTTCTAAGCAAGCATCCAATGGCTCAGGCAAATGTCCGAAGTGTTCTCATCTGTATACTTTAGCTAATGTTATCCAAAGTTATCTAACGAGGGGTTAGTTAATGAATTCTCAATTTATTTATTGAACGTGTCTAAAAAGTTTTCTTTGGGCTTCAAAGTCAAGATTCTGAAACAATGTAACCCTGGTAGACTGATTTTTACATTTACAATTCAAATTCATAATGCTATTTAGATCTTTTAAATTTGAATGTGTTTTGATTTCTGCCCCGGGGGGGAGGGGGATAAAACTAGCCTTGTCAGGATTGTGATTGGATAAATTTATCGTCGTTCTTGGGATAGATCCGGCGGCGGTAGAACTCTTATAGACCCACGACAAGGCTAGCGCCAGGGAGTGTCTGCCGCCGTCCGTAGCTGTTGGTGGTGGTCGGCAAATATGCTCACAGATACTGTAGCCTCTAATCTATGGCTCCATTGTTGATCGGGTCAAATATCCAATGAACTCATGATAGGACGACAAAGACACAAAGAACTTCCATTAGATAAACCAACCAGCAATAATGCATAAAACAACACCAAATAACCAACAACAACACACAATCAGGATTCCTAATCAGTCCAAATAATCTGAGTAGACGTCGCAGAAACTATTGACAAGGCCTGTGCGCATGAAGGAAAACGAGGTGATGACATGTAGAGAAGAAAACAGTGCACAGAGAGGTGAGAATGAGGACCAGAAATCCCAAGTTTAGAGTATAACATAACCCTCTTGGATCAGCTTCAATCATATTGACGAAGTCTCTGACGGGGACTGGAATGAAAGGATTGTAATAATAGAAGAACTTGCGAAAGGTCAAAGTCTCCAAACAAAGCAGCGAAAGAAGAGACCATTGGATGGCAGATGAATCCCACAGTGCCTGAACACCACATTGCAACAAGAAAGAAGGAAGGACGAATGGGAATATCTGAATCATGCATTGTGCTGATGCGAAGCTCAAGCATTGACGTTACGAGTGAGCAAACTATGTGTGTGCGTGCGTGCGTGCGTGTATTCTTAACTTGACAAGAATAGAACACGTCTCCTTCATTTAATAACTCTAAATTGTTAAGTGTGGATGCGAAGTTGGAAGTTGAATGGGGGATTAGAAGAAGGTCATCAAATGGGTTAAGCTTGCAAATAAATCGCGTCAACGATATCAATGCAGTCGTCTCTGCCTGTTGTTTATTTGAGGCAGTGCCAAGTTGCTGCAGTTCATGGTTGGGTGGGGGCGCACAACGAAAAATAATTCCTGGGCACCAAATTCAGAATTATTTATTCTAAGAATCTCTTATGGTCAATACTAAATACTCATAATACATGGCTGGCCAAAAAACCAAAAAATACTCATAGTACATGCAAACATTTTTTGACTTGTTGATTTGTGTTATTGCTAATTCATTTTTTTCTTTTGAATAATTATTTTATTTTTAAAAATTCATAAATGCTAAATCCTATATATGTACTCATAAGTACTAACCAAGAAAAGAGTCAGACCGAAAAATTACCATAAAAAGATTGGCAGTCAAATAATCATAATGTACATGCTATTAATTGACAATAGTTTTAATTTTTCAAAAATTTAAATTTAAATTACCCTTAATGATTAGAAAAATAAATTAACATGAAGATTTTAAATTATTATTCATACTCTCAAAAACAATAAAATAATCTACGAGGTGTTGGTGTGGACGAGATGAAAAACTGTCTTTATTTGATGAAGACAATTTCGGAAATAATATATGGAACGTCATATATTGTTTATGTAACTTTCGTATATTATTTTTATTTATGTAATTGGCTTTTAATTAATAAACAAAAAGAAAAATTTAACATATTGGGCCTTCCGATGAGATATATCAAGGCCTAAAGCCCAGACCTTCAAACCATGGGGCTGAGAATTAGGGTTTTTCTGGTTCCTCCTCTGCCTCCCGCTTCTACCTATTTAAGCCTCCCATGGCTCCCCAATGCCCCCGTGCAATTCAGCGGCAGGTATCTTCCTTCCTTCCTTTCTTGAATAGGTTTCCTCTAATCCTCCTGTATTTATATATCTTCTTCGTCTTTTGCTTCCCCTGCGGCCTGTGATGCCATATCATTTGTCCGTACCATCTGAGAATTCTGTCTGAAGCATTCTTCAATTAATTAATCTGAGGCCTGCTCTTGTTCTCTTCATTATATTTCTAATTTTAAGGTTTGAATCCTTTTACTTTCTTCTTCTGCGATTGTAATTGGAGGCGGTGATGAATGAAATATATACCATCAAACTATGAAAGCTCTATTATGGGTTTGTTGATGTTATCTCAACCATTACTGAGCCCATATTCCTTTCTTTTTATTTCTGTTTTTTTTAAACAATCTGACCTTTTCTTTGAAAGAAAAGGCAACAAATTAGAGTCTCTGATTCGCTTATTTAATAGCGCTTTCAGTGCTGTACGTTGCCGATAAAGAAATGGATCTGAGATTCTGGCATTTGCCCCTCTATTTCATGAGGCTTATGCATTCAGATGTTCCCATATTTTAATTCTTCAGCCTTGCTATAGTTTTTGAAAATTGACAAGCGTCGTTCATGATTTTAAACCTTTTTCCCTGGGGATATACAATGAATCCTTGTTCGCTGTACCTATTTTATCCGGAATCCCCGTTTGTTTATTTTCGACGAAATTCGCAGATCTTTAAGTAGAGCTTGTCTTCACTCTGCAATCAAATCTATACTCAACTTCATCTTGGAAACACTGTTGGTTGATGTTACTGTATTCGCTGGAAAATTCCGGTAAAAAGGACGAGGACGCCATAGGAGAGTGGTAATACCGAGGACGAAAGTCTAATCTTTTGGATAATCAAGTCTCGACAGTAATGAATCAAGGTTCTTTTAAGATATTACTAGTTTCACACTCTTGACCGTTTAAAATAATAAGAAATTGCTAGTTTCAAATAAAAACAGCCTAGCACATGAATGTGCAAGGATAATCAGGTTCACACACTTGAGTAGAAGATTCAAGCAAATGTAACCCTGGGCACTCTTAAGCGATCGACACTCGAAATTTGAATTGGCCTGAAAACGAAACTTGAAGGTTGAAGGTAGCTGCTGGGAATGCCGACAAAGAAGCTTGTTAAAGTAAGCAGGATTGAGAATTGATATTGAAAGGAATACAAGCCAATACTTGCAGGCGAAGGTCCTCATAAATAAAAACAAAATAACAAATTAACCGTGTTGAGGAAACAATGTAAATTTTAATATATATATATATCTTTTGATGAAAGTGAGAACTTGAATAGAGGGAGTCTCAGAAGTCAGTGTTTCCAACGATGGCTCTGCAAAAGGATCCGACGAAAACAAGCGGGGTTAATCTGGATTTGATTAGTCATGGGCTAATAATCAACATAGGAAGTTCGACTTATTGGTGATTTCATACGTGGGTATTTTGATTTTGACTATCTACCAAGTAAAGCTAACCTCTTATTTCTTGTGCAAGATAAACTCTTGCATTCCTCTAGACTAGTCTCCCTCTTGTCCGTTCCCTTCTCTTCATAAGTGATAGATTGCCTTGGTCTGAACTGATTCACATCTATCCAGCTTCGATGCTTCTGTTATATCATTTTCTTCGACCGTAAAAAGTTAGTGTCTTGTCAAGAACAACTTGTGTTATTTTTGCGCAATAGCGCACCCAAGCATAGAGTCACAAAAATCTTGCTCAAGTGGGTTAAATTTATTTGAGTCGGATTTATTCAAATCAAGGTAAAATATTCTATCTTTTTAAAAAAATCTATATGGCCAAGTTCAACCTTAATTTTTTTAGATCAGGTTTTAAATGGTCCGTTAAACTTGGCTGAAATTACCAATTTTATATACATACAGAATTAAAAATTTTAATGGTTGGACTTATCTAAGTTGTATTCAATTTGGGTTAGGCTTATTAGAGTTAAACTTAAAACATCATACTTTTTTAAAAAAGTCCATATAATTAAATTTAGCTCTAACTTTTTTTGGATGAATTTAGAATGACTTATTAAGTTTGACCTAAATTATCAGTTTTACTTCTAAGAATAATATTGTAAGAATCCTTCCGAACCCAACCACACTCTAAGATGTTTACTTTATGTATTTAATTAATGTATGACTTGGCTCAAGACTATATTTGTCACACATGTAGGTTGTATGATATTATCTCCTATAATCAATCTCTTGCAAATCTGATCTCCCAACAATTAGGAGAGCGTGTTTCATGATTTAAGAGTATAAAGTCCTGCTTTCACTAGACTAGCTTCCCTTGTTCGTTCTCTCCTCTCCAAATAAAATATTTTGAAACTTTAAAAAAAATTACATTTAAGAGCCACTCAAGAATTTATTCACAAGCAATAATTAACAAGTTCCATCCAAGAAAAAAATAATTCATGTTCTCATTTTAATAATAATTTCTTTTTTGTAATGGGCATTGTCTGTAAATAATTTTCTTGAATGATTTTTGAATGTGATTCTCTCATGCACATGTTTGTAAATCTACCCAAAAATTTATTTTTATCCAAATATATAAATGAATGAATGAATAACATGATAATTTTTTTCAACACAAATTAAATATCAATGCACAAAATAATATTTTTAAAATAGAAAATGTATTCGAATGTAATTTATTCATACATTTCAAAGAAATTTCTGTCTTCGCTTTTACGTATAGGGAAAAAAATAAACTTTATTAACCTTATATTATATTCACATAGACTTAAGTGTGATTAGGATTCATATGTTTTGTTGACGCAAATTCACTTTGATTATTATTTTCAAATATTTGGTGTTTTTGTTTTTCAAAAAGATGTTTAAGGAAAATTATGAAGAAATGGGGGCCCAATGTGAAAACAGAAAATCAGGGTATGTCATGGCCACGTTCAAAACCACTCGTATCAAAACAGAAAACAAGAGCCTCATTTTCGTTCGTCCCCAGAACGTCACAAACTAGAGAGAGAATCATCACGACAAGTCTCTTCCCCTTCTCCTTCTCTTCGCGCAGATGACTATCTAATATCTTCTGGGGAACAGTCATAAACAAAAGGCCATGGCTTTTCTTCTACCTAACCTTCCTTCGTCCCTCTTTCCCCAAACCAAATCCAAAGAAAAGCCCTTCTCTCAAATCCCTTCTCTTTCTAAACTCGCTTCTCACTGTCCTCTGTCTCTCGCCTCTGCTTCTTCTTCTTCACTGAATTGCCTCCAAACTTCCACTGTACAGGTCGCCCAAGTTAACCCACCCCCAGGTGCTCAGGATGACAAGAATCAGAAAGATGATTTCTTTGTCAATCTAGGCTTTGCTGTTCGGACTCTTCGCGAGGACCTCCCTCTTCTCTTCGTCCAAGATCTCAATTATGAAATCTACAGGTTTTTTTCCTTTAATTTATCTACTGGGTTTTTTTTTTGTTGTGGAAATTATTGTTGTTGTTATTATCATCATCATTTTTTTTTTCCTGAGGAAGCTGGGATTTTGATCGTTTCAGGGATGACATAACATTTAAGGACCCTTTAAATACGTTCACTGGAATTGAAAAGTACAAATTGATCTTCTGGGCATTGAGGTTTCATGGCAAAATTTTGTTTCGTGAGATTGCTTTGGATGTGTATAGGATATGGCAGCCTTCAGAGAATGAGATACTGATCAGGTGGAACCTGAGGGGAGTCCCTAGAGTTCCATGGGAAACCAAGGGAGAATTTCAGGGCACTTCGCGTTATAAAGTGGACAGAAATGGTAAAATTTATGAACACAAGGTGGACAATTTAGCATTCAATTTCCCTCGGACACTCAAACCTGTCTCAGTTTTGGACTTGGTCACTGCATGCCCTGCTAGTCCAAACCCTACGTTTTTGTGGGGTCCTGCAAATTCCTACTCTTCTTCGTGGATTGAGTTCTATCGAGCAGTTAAAGGAACATTGGATCAAGATGGTAGGTTGCTACCTCAAGATGGTCTAGCTACATGTTCATAGTCATCTGATAGGTAATTTATACCATACGATCGAATAGGTTAGGTATAACTATCTGATGAATGCTCATATACTATGGGTTTTTGTTGATGTATAAGAGTGTATATAGATAGGCAGAGATGCTGAAGAGTCCTAGTTGCTCACTCTGAAATGAATCCTTCCATGGTTGGTGTGCTCATACAATATGACATGTATCTATATGCAATATTCTTAAGAGATTCACTTCAATTCTGTCACTATTTTTTTTTTTCCTTTTGTTATAGCTGAAACATATGGATCACACTTGTTCTGAGGAAACATATTTTCACCTGCCTTGTATTACTATAGTTCAGTTACTTTTCTGTGTCTTATATCTATAGGTCTTTATATTTCTCATTTGAATTTCCATGTTTGAAACCCAGCTTATGACTTTCGTGATTCATTGAGTAATTTTTCTATAATGTGCTCATCTAAATATACTGATCCAGCAGATGCTTGTGGACATGTTTGCCTATAATAAGGTATATAAATATATCTCTGCAGCATCCTCAGTTATAGATTGGTCATTGGTTGATGTCTTGTCCCACACGACACATTGGGATAATATAAAATATAAAATGGGCTTGCAATAAGCTTGGTTCCCTTGAACCTGGCATTTATATCAGTAAACTTGTATGGTTAGGTCACTTTCATTTAAAAAAAAAAATTGGGAGAATTACAGATAGGTCTTAAAAAAAAATTAATTACTGCAAGGTTTATTGACAACTGAACTAAATTACATTGATAGCTGATTGATGTTGTTAATGAATCTTATAGTAATTAATTTATTTATGTGAGATTTCAATGTAATTCACCCAAAAAAGTTTGATTTGTCAGCACATAAGCGGTAATTATTTTAGTTGTTTGTTATCAAGCTTATCAACAAGGGCCTAACACGCAAAAATATCTTTTGCCGAATTAACACCATGTTATCTGACTCCTTCAGGAAAATTTTTCTTGTATACTCTGAAAACAAGTGCATAAGAAACTGAGCTGATTATTTGTGAGTCAACGAAGGGTGTCCTGCATTATATGTTCACCCCCTCGTGTAAAATTCCTTCATTATATGCATTTTTCTGCTGTAAATTTCATCTATAGAAAATAGAAATAGCGGTGAGATGAAGCAAGTCAGAATCGAGGAGGAAAAGATATCGAGCAAGTGAAATGAAGCAAGACAGTATTTTGGAGAGTTCAAGGTGGTCGTTTTAACTTTCAAAGGAAGTTTTTTTTTTTTAAGAAATAAAATAGAGAATTTGAAATACAATATTTTAATAAATTTAAAAATTCAAAACAGCTACCTTTTTTGTAATGCTTATTTGCTTGTTTTCTGAAATTTTAGTTGACTTGAAGAACCTAAACGATAATTTAACTTTCTTAGTTTTTATAGTGTAATATATATAGGGAAAATATATTTGGAGGTCCTTGGGCTTTCATTCAATTTTAAATTAGGTCCTTATGATTTATTTTATTTTAATCAACCTTTATAATTTCATTTATTATATATATTGACCCTTGAAAGTTGAAATTAATAATGAATTATTAAATTTTACAAAACAAAAATCCTCTTGGAGCTTGCAAAAAATTTAATTTAATACTTTTAGCCAAAATAAAAAAAAGATTTAATCTATTGCTTATATTTTTATTATAAATTTTTATGAAAATTCTACATGTATAAAAAACATTTAGAAGACAACCTATTGTATAAATTTTGATTTATAAAAATTATGTAATTAATTCTAAAGTCATATAATCCTTTAATAAAATTAAAAAAGTTCTTAATTTTTTTTAATGGAAAATGTAAGAATTTTAATTTTGAGGGATTAAAAAATTTAATTGGTCAAACTATAATGGCTCAATTGAAATAAAATAAAATATAAAAATTTAATTTAAAATTAAATAAAACTGTAAAACTGCATATATATTTTCCCTCTATACACACACACAACAAGCTGGAAAGCCAAATGATGGAGTACAACTTTTTTATAACTCAAACTTCTAATGTATCAAAAGTTGAAAGTTTTGAAAATAAATTTTAATAAATTTAGGTTTCATACTGCCACCTTTTTAACGCTTTCTTTATCCAAATAAAAACAACTTCTGATCATTTAAATTTTCCATGTGGTGGTTCTGCAAATATTATATGCATCACGTTCAATTAAATTTTCCATGTTGGATTCTTTTTTTAAAAACGAAAAACCTAAATTTCTCAAATCAATTCTAAAAAGGATTCTTCACTAGTCGCCACTACAATAATGCCTTGAGAATTTAGTCTTTCATTTTAATTCCTTTCGGGGTGCACATTCATATCATGTGCAGTCACATGTGGTTACAGCTTACTATTTCCAAAAAAAAAAAAAAAAAGTGGTTGCAGCTTACAACATAATACAGTATTTTCTAAGTATTTCACACTTATCACAGAAGTAAAATTAAAGCACAAATCCAAGTCAAGTCAGAGAGGAAGGTTGTCCAAAGGTTTCAGGGTTGCAACCCTACTTAGTTCAGGCCTTGAATATTTTTCACATGTAACCATCAGATTTCCTGCTCTAGCTGATTTGTGGAACTTCAATATCATCTCTGCACAATTCCTGCAAATGGAGGCAAGAGTTAGCATAACTAGGATCACCCAGAATCATGAAGTAACAAAACTTGGTGATCCTGAAATGTTAAAAACTATCTCCTTTAACAATTTTCGTTAGAAAGACTAACATCGAACATGAAAAGACTTAAAACTAAGTTGGGTCCCAACAGAATATAGAATCATGCCTTAATTGGGAAACTTCATAACGACAATGCTTGTGCAGCAATGGCGTCCATGGTGGGGCAATTTGCAGGGTGCAACGAGCAACATAGATGGCAGATGCACATACCAGTGAAGACTTGAATGCCAAGGCTTCATATTCAACCAAGCACAGTTCAATAAGAAAGAATGCCAAGTGTTCCAGCTGGGACAAATGTTCACCAAAAAGTTTAGAAAACCAAACCTTTTGTCCTCAATTAGAACAATAAACTACAAATAAAAGGCTTAGCATCTTCATTAACTGTCATCCTTCAAGCTCTAGAAGCAACTAGATCTCACATTCAGATCCATGCAATTACACAGAACCTAAGGCTAAAAACTGCACTAGTCACGGTTTTGTAAGCAGTGCAGCTTCCAATTCTATATTTATATATATTGATGATGATATTGACATTGATGTCAATTTGACATCCTGAATATCTGGCGCCCCACCCAAAATATATATATATATCGACGTACTAAATTGGCATCATCTGCACAGAACATTTATGCTGCATTAACATACCCTCTTGTCTGACTGAGCAGCCTTCAAAAACCTCACCATAAAAACATAAGGAGTGGGGCCATTAAGACGGAACTTCAATTTTCTAAGAATAAGCTTCTCCTGAACAGAAAAACAACTGCAGATATTAGAATCTGGTCATGGAAACCTTGGACCTGTCCCTCTCAAACAGGTCTAGAAGTTCAGAAACGGGGAAAAATAGAATAAGAATAATAGACAAAAAAATTTCTATGCTAGAAACAGGGGAAAACAGAATAAGAATAATAGACAGCAAAATTTCTATGCTACGGAATAAAATACCAACAAACAACTACGCCTTGTACGCAATTACTTATGGTTCAATAGTAGAATAGTTTGATCAACCTACCTCTCAACAAATTATTACGCTATGATTTTTTCTGGTTCTCCGTTTTAGTTAAAAAGATGAGCAACCAGATGTTCAAGATCAATATTAAAGTTAGGCGATTGATCAAGAGTTGTGTTGAATAAAAGGCTGAAAAGAAGTAAGCTCGCATACCATCCCTAGTATTTGTTCTCTCGTATATGATTCAACTGAAATGCTTAGTAACTCTTTGACCTAAAACAGATAGAAAGACAGCACATATTACTATCAATCACGATAAACCATGAAATATTTTCTTCAAAAGAAACGGATGATGGAGAAACTGTCTCTTACACTAGGATGCCAAAAATCTTCATATTTTGATGCCAGCAGAAGTGCGGTTAGACCAACTAACTGCAATTCATTCTTTTCAATTGCCACTAGAGATAGATATTGATCCAATAACGAAACTGTGAGATACAGGGTTTCTGGCATCAACTCATATTTCAAGTGTACCTGTAAAAGCCAGTAGTGAGAAAGCAAAGGAATTGAAGATGATAAACCTTAGACAACGATAAGGGAAAGAAGATGAAATGTTAATACTAAGCCATCTGAGGGTTGAGGGAAAATGGGAAGTACTTCAATTAACCAGTTTATCAGTATGCCACGCATATGAGGTGTAAGGTCCGTCTGAATTGACATATAACTCATCAGAGCCGGAGCTTGTGCCTGCAGTTGAAAACAGATTGAGATTGGAGGAATTTCACAGAATTTAAAACTTTATTAAAAAAAGTTTATTATTTTAACTTGAGATAGTATCTACATGGCATTGGGGGGGGGGAGGTAAAGGGATAAGCATGTTCAAAAAGTAAGTAACGATTTTTTCAAGCAGTAGAAAAGCAATAAAAGGGGAAAAAAAGTCACATCAAAAGCATTATAAATCATACCTCAGTAACCCAATAGTACTGATATATATCATCAACATACTCAGAAACTTCTAGTTGATTGCATTCATCATCGATATTTGGTAGGTTATCTTGTTCAGTCATTTCACCACTTTCCTTGAGAAGCTGTAAAAGTAAGTCATTATAACGTCCAATCTATACGAGAACTGAAAGAAATGTGGCAGAACGCATTAAGCATCGACCTTAGATCTTTCCATTAACAAAGTTGTGTAAGATTTTCGACGGGTGGACTTTTTCCTTCCAATTATCTCCAATGAACTTGTTCTTGGGTTGCTGTCTCCACCAGATGGAAGCTGCCCTTCATATGCATCGTTGGAAACCACAGGTAAATTATTATCAGGGAGAGACAAAGCAACTGCCTCCTCATCCTGTGATGAAATTGCGGCAGCTGATTTGGACTTAGATTTTGAAGTCCTTGGAGCGTTAGAAGCCTTAAGTGTGCGCTTAACAAGAGGCTGCGAGCAGCAAGGCCAAAAGCAGGTAAAATAGGTGGATGCTCACAAAGTTTGAGGAAAAATATCCGACATTAGATATTATAGGCAGACTGGACAGTAGACTTTGGTCACTAAATGATGATCTCCGCACTGAGCACAACTTATCACAAGTCCATAAAAAAACATTAAATACAGCAGCTAAGTTATCAAATTTAGCAGACTAAGACATAGAGCCTGGAGAAACAAGTTTTTCTTGTTCTACTTTTATTCTTGTCCTTCTTATCACTTCATATTACTCAAGGTATATTCTCTGTTTGCATACCTTAAACTGTCTGCAAAATACTTTAACCTCAATAGTCATGAATGTGTTATGGCATAATAGTGTAATGTAGAGGAAGGCCAAAGAGAACACTTATAGAAGTTGTTGACCAGGACCTCTTAGTTAACAACATTCCTAAAATCTTGGTAAATGATAGAGTACAATGGTATAGTGCAATCCATATAGCTGACCCTACATTGTAGAATAAAGCTTATTGTTGTTGTAGTCAAGAATGCATTATATGCTCCACCATTTAATGCTTAAAGCTAGATGCATTACAAATAGTGTTGTGGCAGGGTATAAATATAGCAGAGAAACTGTGCAACCAAACAGACCAAAGCAGAGGTGGTACCCCAATCAAATCAGGCAAAGTAATTACAAATAGTTTAAAAATACAGCAAACATACTTTGGTAGACTTCCTTGAGGATGCATATAAAACATTGGTTTTAACCCTGGCTCCCAGATTACTGCATGAAAATGATCAATTAATAACAAGCAACATCTTCCAATCTACCAACTAGCAGAAGTCAATCAAGTCTGAATAGCCACCAAACTACAGCATATCAAGAAGGAATAGTAGTAGGCACTAAAACAAAAAAATATAATAAAATAAACAGGCATAGAGGCATATCAAAAGGAGTTTAAAACTAAAATAGTAACTTTCATATTAACAACACAGCTTTGCCACAGGTCATTATCAGTTTTTTAAACGAATCTTGCCTCTTAAATCTGTTTACTATAGACTCAAATGTTTAGAGTTCTGCAGTTTAGCAACTTCATAAACAATGGAATGGAAAAAAATTGCAATTCATTTGAACATCTGTATGAAATCAACATAAACGCTTTGGGCAATATTATAACTATCACTCACATATGAACATGGCCATCACTCACTCGAGTCTTCCGTAGATGGCTTGTTGCACCAGATAATTGGGGGGCAACTTTTCTCACTGTTTCTTCCTTAGCTGAAAAAGTGAATAGTTTAAACAACTTAAGTTGTTTTGATGAGATTTACAAGCACTTATCCACATCCCAGCATCTTACTTGATATCCCACTTATTTTCTTTGCAGTATCAGAACTTCCAGCATTTCCCTAAAAGAAAGTAAAACAGAAAAAAGGAAAAGTGTAAACACTTTAAAACAAAATGACAAGGATCCTCAAATCTGAATAAATCAGCTAGAGGATAGACAAATTGTAGTGATTATACACAAAGATGACATAAATTGCAAAGCAACCATAACGACCTTTCTGTTGCTCATGTCCTCCCTATTGACCCTCCTTGGCACAGGTAAAGACCTCCTTCAAGAAAAACCAAATGAATATTCTGGTGTCAGTCATATTTAAGTTTTAACCTAATCTGATCAAGAAATACAGACCTTGTCAAACTAGGTAAGAGAGACTTCCTAGTGGTCCTGAAAAAGAAGAAAATGTCATATAAATTTCCTGCAGCAGAGTACTTGAGACCTTTGATATCTAACAACGATCTAGTATAACATCATATTAATAAATGAGAGATAAACAATATACATGGCCAACAGTACCTGCCCTCTGTGGCAATAGATGATCTTCCTCCACTTTTATTAATCTTCTGAGCACCTAAGGGTGGTATTGAGCTAGTGCTCACTGCTTACCACACAAAGGCACAGATTAAAGTTATACTTAACTAGGAAATATAGAATAAAATTATCTAAGGAAAAGAAAATCACCTCTCTTAGAAGCTTCTAACTGACCATCAACTTGAATTATTTTCCTGTGCAGTCTCCCCTAATGTGAACAAGGAAAAAAATCATACAAATTCAGTATAGTTGTAGCCTAGTAGGCCTATGATTCAGTTAAACCAACCATTAAAAACGGTGCTCTACCAAAATGAAAGCAGCGTTTATGCTTTCTCACAAGGGTATATAGGAACAGGATAGGGAACAGGGAGAAAAGTCAATCTGTGGATGAATCTCTTGATAGGGATATTTGACATGGTATAGCACGTACAAAAAACAGGCATTCACTAACTAGAGCATTCTGTCCATTGTACATCATCAATGATTTTGTAAGACTTACTTTTAACTCTGATTTTAAAGTTCATAAGTGGAATTCCAAGTACAATTCCACTCATTGTGTCAGTATGCAGCAATAAAAGCTTAAATGAACCGTGTATTCTGCTAAATAACTGAATAAGAAAGAAGAGACCACATGGATTACAAGAAAGTTTAAACAGATGTGACTTGGGAATTTTCATACCATAAAGGACTTCCTTGAAGAGGCATCGCCCAACTTGGTACCTGTGCTGGCTAAAACCCTGGATAGGCATGTAAGAAATGGAACATCAAACAATAGAGTATATACATTCATTGATAAGGGAAGCAAGCAATGTGGAAGGGAGTTAAAGTCAGATAGATGCAACATTACATATTACATTATGAAAGTTATTTTCTAATTCTTTCTACCCAGAGTGAAGAGGATTCTCACTTCATTTTAGAAGCATCCTGTTTAATATTCCTCATAGAGTTGCCTTGAACGTTGCTAACATCAGCCAGTGCCTTTCTCGCTTTCATATTTGCTACAAAAAAAAAAACGAAATAAATGGAATCAATAAATGAATTCATCAACATGTTTCTGTCAAGAGTTATTCACAACTTTTGTCTAGTTAAGGCATACCAGAACTACCATAGATGCCACTGCTTTTCTTCATACTTTTCAAGCCAACCTTTAGCATTAGAGGCACAGAAAAATTATAACCATGCGATTGTCATAAAACACTAATATCTTCTGATCAACCAAAGTTAAATTGAGTAGTCAGAAAGTTCTATGAGGCATTGAGGCGTATCACCTTTGAGTTGCTAGCAGTATTCATGACAACCCCTTTGTTAGCCACCAAAGCACTCCTTCTACATAAGTCATGAAGAGAAGCGAGACAGTAAATCAATAGAACAAAATTCTCCCCTGATCAGAAATTTATTAAACATGTAGAGTGAATAGAAGTCACTGTTTTGAATGTCTTTCATAATGCAAAGCAACAACCTCTCATAACACATACAAATACACGACACAAGGTAACAGTTTTGGACGTCATATATGTTACAGAAATGCTAAAATCTTCAGCAGCCTACTTTGTTGCGGATTGCAAGAGTCTAGGATACAAATAACATAACAACAACAACAACAATAAAATGTAGACAGACATTTTTTCCAGCCCACGAAGTAGTACTACTGCACAGATTTAGAACATTACTTAGCCATCAGAGGAAGTGAGGAACAAACAAAATCAACTAATAACAGCCTCTATCAGTAAGACCAATGATACAATTACTTTCAAGTATAAATATTCACTCTATTCCAAGTCAGCTTCTATCAGCCCCTTAAAAGAGTAGCAATTCCAGTTTTTTATGTAAGAAAATATATCATACCTTGCATGTTCACTGGCTCCTGTTGCTGGTTTCCTGACAAAGGACCAAAGTTAATAACCCTTTCATTTGCCTATAATGCCCAGGCATGATGCATTTTCAATCACTAACAGAGAAATACTTACGCGAGCCCATCATCATCTATTTTGAGCTGCTCATTTTCAGGCAAAACTTTAAAATTTCTAGCACCCGCTGTTCACAGATCACAGAAAATTTAGAAAAGAAACCAAAAAAAAAAAATCAATCTTGCAACATTGAAATCTCAAAAAGGCAAGAAAACAAATTATATGCAATGAATTAACAGATACAATTTTTACGAGATTGGCCATCTTCAAAGACCCGGGTTAAACCCACTTTAGATTTTCCCTGCAACTTACGAAAATCACACAAGAATGTGAGAAAAAAAAAGAACAACCGAAAAACAAGAAATGAAATTCAAATTTCAAAGGTATCTGGGGCACCTTGACAGCTGCCATAGCTTTCCGATAACCGCCTGTTCCAATTATTCTAAGATTAATTGAATGTCTACAAAAGCATAAGTGGAACCATTCGGTGAGGATTCGAATGGGTATCGCGAATGTGAAGCTTTAGTGAGAGTGATTGAGCAATTCAAAGGAAAAGAACAGTTGTAAATGGAAGAAACGGGAAAATCCGAACCCCGAAGAGCGCCTGCTGAGTTTTGGATTTGAAAAGAGATGCTTTGACATTTATACCCTTCTCGAAGGGGTTTAAAAAAATCTAGAAGTTTTGGCCCATGCAGGTCTCGAACCTGCGACCTTCGCGTTATTAGCACGACGCTCTAACCAACTGAGCTAATAGGCCGTGTTGAGGCTTATATGAAATAAAATAAATAATCCTGCAAGGCTCTCACATCCAACCTTTTGTGCACCCCAGCTTTGAAGTAGAGTGTTATAATTATTTACTTATTTAATATACTTCAAATATTAATAATAATATTTATAGTTAGTATAAATATAGAAAAAATTACAAAGGACCTAATGTTTAATTTTAGAACAAAATAGATGGAAATTATGATTTTTTTTAAGAATCAAAATTATTATCAAATATTTTATTATTATCTCTTGAGAAAATTATTAAAAAAATTTTAAAGCAAAAGCTATTACCTGTTAAAATATGTTAATTTTATTTCATAATTTAATTTAATTAAAATACAAAATAGACGCCATAATTTAATCTATGATTTTATAATAATATATTGTAGCAACAATTCGGTTTCAGCTGTTGTTATTTTCGTTGATGAAGAGTGGAATAATACAAAATTATCTAGGAAGCAAAAATTATATTTCGAAATGATAATTATTTAAACTGAAGACGTTGCAATTTGCAGTGTGATGACAATGATTAAAAAGAGGTTAATCGGGAACGAGCCCGTACAAGCTTTAGAACGATTCCTTTTGATGTGATGATAAAAGGGTCAATAAGTGCAATGATAAATAGATATGAATGTGAAAAAGGCAAAGTGGTTCGATATGTTTCGTGGGACTATGAAACAAATACTGAGTGTTGAGATTCAAGTTGGAGTCTTGCCACATTATATCAACATCTCCTGAGATCACCTTTTCGGTGCTAAAGCAATCATATATCCAATTTCAGCTAAATGCTTTGCTATAGCTTGTCCAAGTAGGTAAAGATATGACTTGCCCTTCTGATTTTTTTTTAATAAATTAATTTTATTAATTTCATTAATATCAATGTGAAAAAATAAAAGGAATAATAACATGTAAAATTTTTAAATATGTCCTTTATATAAAAAATTTAAAAAATAATGTCATGTTATTTTCTTTCTCTTATAAAAAGTAATTTTAAAACTATCTTTTAAATATTATCTAAAAATTTATACCATAACTTTAAATAAAATTAAATAAATTTTTTAAAATGTATCTTATAAATAAAACTGAAGAAAGTATATCTTGTAAGTTTATGAGTTTGAATTTTAGTACAAATATGACAACTTTGTTAATGAATAATTTATAAATTTTTTTTAGAGTCATTTGAATTTTAAGGTCTCCTCTCCCCCATTAAAAAATATTTCTTTCCATCATTGGAAGAAAACTCTAATTATCTCACTAGAATTAAAGAGATATAATTAAATTATTAACTTTATATAAAAATAAAATAAATTTTTAATTTTACTTATATTTAAATGAAAAATTTTAAATTTGTATAACATGCTCTGTCATAATTAAGGGTTTAAATAAGGATAATATAAGAAAAATATAATTAACATCTCATCAAGTATATTATATTAAGAAGAAGTGGAGAGAGTATTCAACATTTTTTAAAAATTACATGTTAAAAAATATAAACTATATTTTGTTTTTTTAATATGTCATTAATAAATTTTTTTCCAAAAACCACAATCACTCAGCACTTCACCCCAAAACATTTCATGAATAAATATAAAAATAATACTTCTTCATTTCAAATTATAAGACATTTTTAAATAAAATCTCACATATTAATAATTTTTATTAAATACACTTAATAATTTTATCTTTTTAAAATAAAAATATAAATTTTTTAAAATACCCATCATTTAATATATTGAAAAAAGAAGTGATAAAAATTAATTATAAAGAAAAAAAATAATATTAAATTATTGCATTTAATAAAATTTTAATATACTTAAAATATTTTATATTTTGAAATGAAATTTTTTAAAAAAATTTAATTAATTAAATATTTAATTAACTTACTAAGTTTTGATTTGACACCTAAAAATATCACAGACCGGATTTGCCCAAACCACAGCTTTGGTTTTGGGGATTTGCATGACTCCATCGTGTCCTCATTATCTTTTTCATTGATTTTTGTTGTTTTATTTTTTTTCACTGGGAAGTGTGACATCATTTCCCACCATTGACACGTCCTTCCCTGAACCCTTTTTGGCTTTTATTTGCAGTGACCGTATTACCATTCAGCGTCTCTATTATGCCCACATGTCCTTCTTTTGTCTTTTCTATCTCTAAGTTCTAAAATACGCTTTATCTTCCTTATCGTTATTGATGCTTGTTCAGGAATTTTTTTTAAAAAAAGGATGAAATTGAAATAAAATAACCAATAATCCATATTTTTATACAAAATAACTTATAAAACAGACCATAATTTTTTTTTAGAAAATAACTGATATATAAAATCATTGGGTGGAGTAATGATTTAGTATGGAGCTTGCTATTAAGATTTGTCCATCTTCACTTGTTTATCCCAATATTTCCATGCACCGCGCCCACATTTCTCTTTTTGTTGCCCATTACATAAAAAAAAGTGGACTCCTTGTCTCAACCTTCATATCATGTATGTATCTAATTAACAATAAATTGATATTGATTTTAAAAAATATTTTTTTTATGTTGGAAAAATTATCTTGTATGAAAGAATCCCCTCCACTTACTATTAGTTGTTAATATATTCAGCCTATAACAAAATGCAAAATCTCAATTAAATTAAAAAAAATCACACATTACTCATAAGCATATATTTCTCACACAGAAAATTAAATCCACCGCACTCAATGAGGGAGACTCCTCGCTACTCTCTCTGGAATGTCATATAAAACGCTTTTTAAAAATTTTATTTGATCCAAAAAATATTTTTGACTAGATTTATAGTTCTCGCTACTCTCTCACATGTGGAAATTTTCACATTTTTCAATCGTTCAGCTTGGTTCAAAATATAAAAATTGAGTAACTTTTATTTTATTATATTTCACAAGTAATTAATGAGAATGTTTTTAATAAATTAAATATTATATTTATTCTTTTAAGGATATACTACTTCATTTTTATTTATAAGAAAAATTATTACTTTTTATTTTTTATATAAGCAAAATTACATATTTTAATAAGCATTTATTATATATTTTTTAAATCATCCCTCATAATTTACATTAATAAAAATATTTAATGCATGCTTATGTTGATTAATATAAGATAATTTAATCCAATTTTTTTTTATTTTCAAACATAATTATTATGGTTACCTAACTTTTTTAGATTGTTTGATATAAGTTTTTTATATATAAAAATGGAGTAAATAATTGAAAAATGTGAAAATTTTTACAAATTAAGATTTTGACTAACTTTTTTTTTTAAATATCAATTAGTTAATAGTAATTTATATGGAAATGTAAGTGCCAAAAATGTCCATATCACAGCTGTCATCTGTGAGTAGAATATACCGCAGCCTAATTGAAGGGTCAGTTATTTCTTTAATTGTATACATGTGAGTATGTCTATTAGTATTCGTAAATCATTACAGCTAGTCAATTAGTTACTTAGTTAGTTGATTAATAAATAATTAAGTCTAACCTCATTTACATCATCTAGTTTGAAGAAGTACTTTATATAATCATGGCAACTGAGCCAAGATTCTCGCAATACCAGCCTCCCAGAGTGCTTTTATTTTCTTTGCTCTTCAGATATACAGAGAGCTACTCAAGTCTACTCATTCATCAAAACGAACCACCTTTTTCCCTCACTATATAACAACAACGATTCTCAATTCATAATTCATCTCGAGCCATCCTCTAATCTTATTTCAATTCATCTTCCCTGCACAATGATCATCAACTTTCACCCTTCTTCTTCTTCTTCATCCTCCATCTTTAAATCTCTCTGCGTTTGCGCGTTTCTCATCATCGTCTTCCCCGCTGTGGCTTCTGGGGATGGCTGTTCCTGCGATCTGTCAGAACGCAGAAACAGTGACGCCGCCGCCGGTGAAGCTCTGAAATATAAGCTCGGTTCAATAGCTTCCGTTCTGATCTCCGGCGGCCTTGGGGTGAGTCTTCCCTTGCTGGGCAAGAGGATCTCAGCTCTGAGACCCGAAAACGACATGTTCTTCATGGTGAAAGCCTTCGCCGCCGGAGTGATTCTCTCCACCGGCTTCGTCCACATACTTCCGGAGGCGCTCAAGAGCTTGACTTCACCTTGCTTGAAGGACAGCCCTTGGCACAAGTTCCCCTTCACTGGGTTCGTCGCCATGGTGTCCTCGATAGGAACGTTAATGGTGGATTCTCTGGCGACTGGGTATTACAAGAGACGGCATTTCAATTCAAAGCAAGTTTCCACCGATGAAGAGAAGTTAGGAGATGGCGAGCTTGCCGATCATATTCATATGCACACTCATGCGACACATGGTCATGCTCACGGATCAGCAGAGCGCTATGGTGAGGGCCCCGTAGCGGCCGAGTTAATCAGGCACAGAATTATTTCGCAAGTAAGAAATAAAAATAATTATTATTATTATTATTATTATTATTATTATTATTATTATTTCGTGTGGGGAAGCATAAATACTTGAAGAAAGACAGTCTTCGTGTGGTGTCATATTATATCATATAAGTCGATTTTGTTGCGATTTCTTTAATAGTTGGTTTAAAATGGAAACAATATTATTTTTTATCCCTACGCTTTGCTATATTTCGGTTTAGGTCCTACACTTTTTTTTTTTTTTGTATTCCATGTTCTTGCATTTTTCTCTGCCTATAATGTGTCTTACATTTTTATTTCATCTGACATACACATTTTTTAATTTGTTCTTATTAAAAATTTATGTCAATATTTTCATATGTAAATACAAAATTAATGATATTAATTGACATGTCACTGTATTAGTATTATTAACATTGCTTGTATCATGTCAACATTTATAAGGAATAATGTTACGAAAGAAGAAATGTGTAGAGATTAATTGGGTTTTAAATTTTTTAATATTATATACTTATAGCATTTCAAAATTTATGAAATTTTTATAGTATCTATGTTTTTCTTAATCTTGATCGCTCAAAATTAAATCCTGACATCAGGTGTTGGAGATAGGAATAGTAGTACATTCAGTGATAGTTGGAATCTCTTTGGGTGCTGCTGGGAGCATTGATGCTATAAAGACCCTGTTAGTGGCCCTCTCATTCCATCAGTTCTTTGAGGGTATGGGTCTTGGTGGTTGTATTTCTCAGGTACCTTTTTCATTATATATATATATATATATATATATATATATTGTGTGAATACTAATTTAGTAATTAGTAGGTATCTCACGCCATTTATTTTTCAATGTCCATCTTTTCTACACTTGATTTTTTTTATTGGAGAAAGCATAAATGATTATGTAATTTTTTAATGAGTGTATTTGTTTATTGAATAAATTACATTAAACTACGGATTTTTTTTATATACTCCTGTAAAGAGAGCTTAAAACACACTGTATTATTCATGATATATAAATACTATATTTTTTGATAAGTTGTGTTTTCTTTGAACTGTGTTGAAATTTATGCATGATATGTTGGGGAAAATATTAGTCTTTGATAAAGAAAACGAAAGGAGGGGATTAGGTTTTGAGTAACGTGTTGGTTAGTAGAGTCAAGGAGTATAATTATTGGGTCAACCTTAAACAAAGAAGTTAAAAGTAATCTCATTGTTAATTATATAAAAGTATCATTATTTTTCCTATTAAAGCTGGATATTATGACCTTATGAGTCAACATCGAGCTTAAAGCTGGAAAGATGAATAGCAGAATAAAATAAAATAAAATTGGCATATGTTGCCATTATGACAACATCTTTTTCTTTCCCTTCATAAATAAGATAAAATTACCACATCTGCCTTAAGAGTAATTTTTTAAGAAAATTACACATTGATTCCATATAAAAAAATAATTATTACAAAATCTATTAACAATTGAATTAAAAATAAATATATAGTAAATGATTTTAATTCATTTGTTAATAAATTTTGTAATAATTAATTTTTTTGTGGGACTTTAATATATTTTTTTTATTTTTTTTTTCCTGGTGAAAGAGTAAATTATTTTCCACATTATTATACATATATAGCAATTGAAATTTTAAAATTTAAAAAGTATGAGTTTTTTGTAATAAATAGTGCTAGTTCTTTAAAAGGTAAACTTAATAGAAGTTTGCAGGTCTTAATTTCAGGAGATTTAATCCATAATTTTATTAGACTCAAGGCTCTGCCCTAATGCAGTTAAAGTTAAGTGCTGTTGAAAACAGTTTTGTTTTTTTTTTTTTTTTCCTGCTCCGGTATACGTGTATAAATTTGATGATTCATTTGTCACATAAATTTGATGAAGTTGCAATCTATAATCTGGGAGTGAAAAGCAACATTTGAATATAATTCAATTTGTGGGTACGCGTGCAGGCAAAGTTCAAGTCGAGAGCCACAGCGATAATGGCGACATTTTTCTCCCTAACAACACCAACAGGGATAGCGATAGGGATGGGAATTTCAAGCGTGTACGAAGAGAATAGCGCAACTTCTCTCATAGTTGAAGGCATCTTCAATTCTGCTGCAGCTGGGATCTTAATCTACATGGCTCTCGTTGATCTTCTCGCTGCTGATTTTATGAACCCTAAGCTTCAAACCAATCTCAAGCTTCTCCTTGGAGCCAATGTCTCTCTTCTTCTCGGCTCTGCTTCCATGTCTCTCATGGCCAAATGGGCTTAAGAGCTTTTACTAACCTTTCCTTTTGCTTTAATTTTGTGATAAAGTGGTACTTTTTTTTCCCTTTCAATTAATCCAAGGATAATTTTGTTTGTTTAGTGCAAAGCTATTCCTTGGTATAAATAATGAAACTGTTATTTCTTTTTTCAATGTATATAATTATCACTCTTCCTTGGTATTCCTTGGTTTTCTTCAAATGTATATCTATAAGCTTCTCTTCTAGTTTTGAACCCAGGGTACGATGCCTGGACCCATGTCTAGTTTTTATCATTTTTTGTCCTTTTGATATATGTAGGAATTTACAGTCGGAAAATCATACCTCTGTGACCATGAAACTTCCTCTTCTATCACACCCAGGAAGCACAGGGAGATTTTTTTCGGTCGTCTATTAAATGATATAGGCCATCCAACATATCACAACAGAAAAAAATCTTATACAATTACATAGCTGCTTCCTTTTCTGGTAATTTACTACCACCATAATAATTTAATTCAAATTGGGCCTCTACCCAAAAGGTCCAATCTGTGGAGGGGTAATCCAACATGACTTGCATTTATATTATATGAACCTAACCTTCAAAGTTTGACCCAAGAATGGAATAAGTAGCTAGGAAAAGCATCAACGTAGGAGGCATAAAATGCTGTCTGCTGTGCTGATAAGAAAGAAGAATGAACATGATGTTCATTGGACACTGGCCACCCATGGCATCTCTTCTGCGTTCTGATGAGGTTCTTGACGACACATCCAATCAATATTCTCAAATCCCACTGTTCAATTTCCATCTACAAGCACAAATTCTTGACCAATTCTAATCTCAGACAATGACAAGCTAAACTAAGTAACTACATAGAAGCCTGAACTTAAAAAGCCTACTTTCCCTGAAGCATCTTACCTAGCACAAGCATCACAGGGACCATTATATATATACATCTTCTGGTAATTTACATGCATGTATATAGATGAGCACAAAAAACAGGAATCTGCTTCACAGGTATCTAATGCTTGTCCTGCTTATGGTGCTTGACTTGATCACCTCAATCCCTCTTTCTCACGCCACTACACCCTATGCTCCGTGCTGGTGCTTCCATGGAAGAAAAGTAAAACAAAGCCAGAGAAAGACGAAGCTTTGAGTAGAAAGCAAGCAAACACAACAAAAGGGGCATAATATAAACCAGAACTTTAATCTTTTTCAATGGCTAAGCAAGCATCTATACCCACACGGAATGAGCTTACAAAAGACATTGCTCAAAATGAACCGAACTGCTTCACATAAATTGGCCTTTTTCCGGTTTTGTGTCTCTCTCTTTTATTTTATTTTATTCATTCTCTTCAGGCGTGCATCTTGAAGCAAAGGATGACCGTCCAGAGAATTACTTAACTTCCATGGCTCCAATTGCTCTTCATTCCTTCTTTCTGGGCAGTTCTAGGGCTCTTCCAACTCCGCAATATCTGTTATAAAACCCCACCATTGTACTCCGTTGTTCTGGTCTTTCAGTGCTGTGGTGAAAAACCAAAGCTTTAATTTAATTACAAGTCTCATACAGCAGCACAGTACGTTGCATTATTGAGGTGTGAGCAGTAACTGAAAGAAGCAGAGGTCACTTAGAAATGAGAAGTGGCCTTTTTCTCCTCTATCTGACTCTATCATTTATTTCTCTCATTCATTGCGGTATGTCTGCAATCATGATCATACCAAATTTATCCTATTTGCTTTCATTTACACTGATAAACTTTGACGTGATACTGATCTCAATCTTTGATATTGAGATGGGTTTTATTTCTTAGATTCAGTTTATCTTACCCTTGCTCATTGGTTTTAAGTCGTTGAAGTCTCAGAAAAATGACTGAGTATTATCAAATTTTGAATAGGGTTTTATGTGTTATATAAGCCTCATTGATTTTTCTCCATTTGTAGATGCAGAGAGTTCAATGAGAGAATCAAAAGGTCAAAAACATGGGAGAATTTTGGCACACAAGCATGCGAAGAAGTTGAGGATGGCTTTCAAGCATTTTGAATTGTCTTCTTTAGAATTTTCAAATGCACAAAGTGTTGACTCATCATCTCCTTTGCCGCCTTATGAATCTCTGGCTCCTATTCCTTTACAACAAAATAGCCCTCCTTTTAGTTATCCTCCCCCACCTCCAATGGGCCTCCAATTACCGCCTCCAGGCCCAACTGGATCTCTTCCCACACCAACACCACAAAGTATCCCAAACCCTCCTGACATGGGTTCGCCCTTACAAAATCCTCCAATTATCATCCCCAGCCCACCAGGTAACATTCCAGGCTCACCTGGGTCTACAACAAGCCCACCAAGTACCATCCCGTCCCCAAGTGGAGGCACTGGGCCTAACTCACCTGAACCAATACAAAATCCTCCTATTGTTCTTCCAAGCCCACCTGGCTCTATGACAAGCCCACCAAGCACTATCCCATCTCCAAGTGGAGGTATTGGGCCAGGCTCACCTGAACCGATACAAAATCCACCAAGTACTCGCACGCCTCCAAATGAAGGTTCTACTCCTGGCTCCCCAGAACCAATACAAAACCCTCCTATTGTTCTTCCAAGCCCACCTGGATCAGCCACAAGCCCACCAGGCACAAATCCATCTCCTAGTGGAGGCAATGTGCCCAGCCCAACAGTGTTTGAGCCTCCTGTAGTATTTCCACCACCTTCTGTGCCTCCCCCTCCTGGCCGCAAGGCCCCAAGTGGAGCCTTATGGTGCGTGGCTAAGCCATCAGTTCCGGACCCAATACTGCAAGAAGCCATGAACTATGCTTGCGGGTTAGGAGGAGATTGTGATCCCATTCGGCCCAATGGGCCTTGCTTTGAGCCCGACACTGTTATTGCACACACTTCATTTGCTTTCAATGGCTACTGGCAAAATTCCAAGGCTTCTGGTGGGACCTGTGACTTTGGAGGGACTGGCATGCTGGTGTCAGAGGACCCAAGTGAGTCTTTTACTTTCACTTCTAACAAATTTGAATTTAATTTATTTTGGAAGTAATTGTTTTTATTTATTTATTTATTTGGGCTTTCTCTGCAGGCTATGATGGATGCCACTTTGTCTATAGTTAGTTAAAGAGAGCTTCCTTGAGCAACTTTTGGACCCAACAGCGATACAAGATGCAACGCACATCAGTTTCTTTTCTTTATCTTCATTTTTGTTTCCCTCAGGAAAATAAGATATGTAGAATCGTGGGTTAATGTCATGATTAATTAATTTGTTGCCTCTTGGTTTTGTTTCTCAAAGCCTTCTTGTGTTTCTTTGGCCACCAACTTTATTCTCAACTTCACACGGTCGTTTTTTTTTTTTTAAAAAAAATCCCGCTCCAACAAATGCACATTAATCATGGGGACTAAGGTTTGGGCATAAATGATAGTTATTAAATAGAAAGTGCATGTAGTGAACAATTGGAGGATATTAACTATTAGATTGTGATCTTCAGTGAAGGGCTACAATTATTTGTAGAGTCTGGTGAACATTATAAGTAAGCATAGTAATGAACGTTGCAACTTAAGCTTCATACAAAGTATAAGCCCACAATCTAGTCTAATTTCTTGACCTCTTGTTCTATTATTTAATGTTGATATTATTTTTTTCTTGGTAGGATTCCAACGGAATAATAAATGGTCAAGATGGTTGAATGACAGAAATATAATGAAATTTACTGTCAACTATAAGATCAAAGGTGTGCATATTTATCAGCTGCCACGTTAGACTTAATACAAGCAGCAACATAAAATTCCATTAGGGTAGATCCGATAAAATTCCATTAAAGCGAGACTTCAAAAGACTAAAAGAATATGTAAATGTAACTTGGCAATTGTTTTGTGACAAAACAGTCTCTGTAAATAAGATTGTGAGAATCCTGCCGCCCATGTGAGGATGGCCCATCTAAATTACTCATAAATAGAGTGCTCATTTCAACAAGAAGATCAAAACTCATTGTTGTAAAGTACTCTCTTCATATTTTATTATTAAAAAAATTATAATTTTTTACTTATATTTTTTTATAAGTAAAATTACTCATTTCAATAAATATTTATTGCATATTTTTTATATCACCCATTATAATTTACATTAATAAAAAAGTTAATGAATATTTATGTTAATTAATATCGGATATTTTAGTCCAATTTTATTATTTTCAAGTAAAATTATTATAATTAATTGATTTTTTTAAATTATATGACAATTTTTTTTCTTTTCTATATAAAAATAGAGGAAGTATGGCTTAAATCCTTTTCAATTGGAACAATCTTAGAAGTGCATGGAAGTCTAAGTGGTGATTTAGGTAAGAAAACGAGACGTAGCCTTATGAGACCCCAACGTTATGATCACCAACTTCCGTGTGCAACACAAATTCCGAAGGCCAAGACTGACAAAATTTCTATTTGACTTGCAGAATTTCTATTCGACCACCAATAAAGAGAGTCAATTCTAGTGGTTTGGAATGAGGATCGACGACTCAAAAAAGAAAGAGAGGAGAAATTTGCAAAATCAGTAGAAGAATGTTACATTTTAATTTAAAATTTCAAAACTTAAATTTATAAATTATTTTTTTAATTTTATATTAATTATTTAATTTAATTTTATTTGGCATGAAAATTTTTACATTGTATTATTATTAACTTCATAAATACTTGGACAATCTCAGAAGAGGAATTATAATTTATCACAAAGACACTAAGAAAAACAGGGTCTAGAAAATGCAACATTCACCCTCAAGCGTTCAATAATTCATTATAAAACCACCCCTCAATGCTTCGTCTCCTTCCCAACCCCACAAACGGCACTCCACTGAGATTCAGATCATGGAGCTTCAGATCCCATGCTCCATCCTCTTCACCTTCTTTTGCTTCCTCCTTATGATATACAAGCTATTAACTTCTCTGAAACCCACCAAAACCTCACCCCCAGCTCCATGGAAGCTACCTCTCATTGGAAACCTTCACCAACTTGCAGGTTCACTTCCTCACCGTTCTCTCAGAGACCTTGCAAACAAGTACGGACCCATAATGCAGCTTCAACTAGGGCAAATATCCAACGTGGTAATCTCTTCGCCTGAGCTAGCCGCAGAGATCATGAAAACCCACGACCAAATCTTTGCCAACAGACCCAGAATTCTTGCTGCCGAGGTCCTTGTCTATAACTGCAAAGACATAGCCTTTTCGCCTTACGGAAACCATTGGAGGCAGCTTCGAAAGATTTGTATGTTGGAGCTTCTGTCTGCAAAGAGGGTCCAATCCTTCAGAACAATAAGAGAAGATGAGGCGTCAACACTTGTCAAGAACATATCCGAAGAACACGCAGGTTCTGTCATGGACCTTGGGAAGAAGATTCTGCCAATGACGAACTCGATAGTTGCTCGTGCAGCTTTTGGGAAAAGGACAAAGAACGTAGAAGAAATCCTATCAAATTTGGCTTTGGGATTCAGCTGGCGAGTGGTCTTTCAATTTCTGATCTCTTTCCTTCACTCAAAATCCTCCGTGTGATCACGGGGACGGAAGCTAAAGTTAAGAAAGTTCACACAGTGATTGATAGGATGCTTGATAATATCATCAACGACCACAAAGAAAAGAACCAAAGCCATACTAATAATGGTGAGCCAAAGGAAGAGGATCTGGTTGATGTTCTTCTCAGAATTCAAAAGGAGAATAACTTGGAAATTCCCTTGACTCTAGACAACATCAAAGGTGTTATCCTGGTCAGTATATGCATTTATAGAAAGTCTCATATATTGTCGAATTATACCATCATATATTTGGGATTGTACATAGTATACTAATGTGGTTCATGATACTCATTTCAGGACATTTTTGTTGGTGGGACTGAAACAGCAGCAACAACTGTAGAGTGGGCAATGTCAGAATTACTGAGAGACCAAAAGAGAATGAAAGAGGCACAAGAAGAGGTAAGAAGGGTGTACGGAGACAAAGGATATGTGGACGAATCAAAACTTGACCATTTGAACTATTTAGGAGCAATCATCAAAGAAACCTTGAGAATACACCCACCTTTACCATTGCTAGTTCCAAGAGAAAATAGTCAAGGTTGTGAGATTCATGGCTATGAGATACCTCACAAAACTAAAGTCATGGTCAATGTGTGGGCAATTGGAAGAGATCCCAAGTATTGGAAGGAGCCTGAGAAATTTCAACCAGAGAGATTTATGAATAGCTCAATAGATTACAGAGGAACAAACTTTGAGTACATCCCATTTGGTGCTGGTAGGAGAATTTGCCCCGGAGTCACATTCGCTTCAGTTGTTATTGAGCTTGTTCTCGCCAATTTGCTTTATCATTTTGATTGGAAACTTCCAAATGATATGAAACGTGAAGAGATCGATATGACTGAATCCTTTGGTGCCACTGTGAGAAGGAAGAACGGTCTATGCGTTGTTCCTGTTAATTATCATTCTTAATGTCATAATTACTTATTACTTCTTCGAATAATAGATGATTTGGTGGTCAGCATGTAAGTTTTGTTTTTGTTTTTTAAATGTCGACAAAAAATGAAAAGGACTGTAATGTAGTAGAAGATTGTTGTGACTCCATGTTTGCACCATGTATTTCACAATACAAGTCCTGATCAATAAAAGGATTTTGGTTCATTCTACATGTTGTTTTAAAACATCAGAAGATTGAAAAGCCAATTAAAAAAAATCAACATAATCTGTTTTATATAATCATTCAAGCCCCTGTATTCCTAATGAAAAACAGAGCTATCTAGGAGAACATTTCCTGAGCAATGCCAATGTATATATATATATTGGTGGCTTCCATTCCACCATTCGTGGTTTCTTGCTATTGGGAAGAGATGATAATAACAGCGAGTGGCGACTCTGTTCTCTGAGGTTTCAGATGTTTTCGCGCCTGGTAGTGCCAGGAGGGATAATACAAGGAAGACTTACAAAATAATAAAACCAGATAAAATAGTGAAAAGGAAAATTTTATCCAAATTCATAAATATCAATTTCAGAAGATTTAAAATCTTATTTGAGATAATACAGTAAATTGGACGATGTATTTTTGAACTAAAAAACATTTAATTACAACTCAGGTTAACATAATAGTATTATATCATCCTTGCGTATGAAATAACATACTCTCTTCGTCCTATTTTCCAGTTTTGCTTCTAATAGATAGGTTCGTGACAAATTGTCCATTTAAGTTAGTTTTTATAAATTTAAGTTTGAAAAAAATGACATTTTTTTAAGAAAATCAAGCTTCAAAACTCAGCCTTAATGTATCCTGCAAAAAGAGACGCTGAGCAAGTCCGTTTTTATTTTACCACTACAATACAAAATATTTTTAATTTTTTAAATTAAATTTAAACTTTAAAATATATATTTGTACTTAAAATTAAAATTTTTATTATTTATTTTTAATTTTTAAACATTAGAATTTATATTTTTTAAAAATATGAAACATTATTATTGAAAATTTTAATTTTAAAAATTAAAAAAAAAAGCACTCATGGGTATGCCCCTAAGCCTTTCAAGTAAAGGTTGGGTTTCATAAAATGATTGATTTTGAGATAACCGAAGGCTTGACCCTCACGCTTTTCAACTTTGCTAATAATGTCACAATTAATAATATAATAGTGGTATATAAAACATATAGTTAATATTTTTATAAAATTGCGTAATTATTAAAAATATCATGACAGTCATTATATTTAGAGATAAAATAAATTTATAAAAAATATTTTATATATAAGGATAAAGAAAGTAGTAAGAGACCTTTTATTCTCAATACTTAAAAAAAAAATTAGTCTCTACTGACGTGTCATAATATACTTCTTATACTTTAACAAAACCCATGTATATAGCTAATAAGATTTAGGATTTGCTTGAATTGAGAGAAAAGTGCTAGTTAAAAAGAGAAAAGTATCATAATATAATATTTTTATGTATTTTTTCTCTTATAGTTTTTCTTCCTTCTTACTTCTCTCTACATTGAAGCGAAGGATAACAGTGACTTTTCCACTTGAGCCCCACCACCTCCTAATTGAGTGAAACTTAATGGTGATGGTGCAATGTGATCAGCTTATATATCTGAGAGATAACCAAGGTTCATGGATAGCTGGGATTTCGCATACTTTAGACAAATGTAGTTCATATGAAGTTGGAGAATTGGGCAGCTTTGAAAGGTCTCAATTTAGCATGGAATATGGGCTTTAAAAGAGTCATCTTTAAAACTAATTCTAAATAAAATGCTAGTTGA